TCATGTCTACTGTTTTGAACGTAATTGGGTCTTTTTGGTCAAATTTTGCTTTAAACAAATTCTTTGGACTATTAAGATTTAGTTGTGTTGAAGCTACTAAGTGAATTTCAAATACTTTTCCAGCGGCAAGTAACTTCTGGCCTCTTTTTTTTTTTTGAAGAACACAGTTCGTTTTTAAAATAAAGCTACTTCATTAGAGGAAATGGAATTGCCTTGTTGGACAAAGCTAAAAACATTTAACTCTCAGTATTTTAAGTTATGCAGCATCCATTATTGTTAATAGAACCGTAGAATATTCATGTACTGATTAAAGAATGAATTGTGTGAATGTGAGGAATAGTAATTTGATCAAAAAGCTGTTGTCTCTTTAAAAACTGAAGTAAAGTATGCTCCTTCAGTACCTAACAAAATGATAAGTAATTTTAAAGCATTTGGGTAGTAAATTATTTATTTGATATGCTAGTGTAAAAGATTCAGTCTCCCTTCTTAATTGGTTCACTTCTATGTTAAGCTCCTAGGCCTTGCGCTAAACGCTCTGCATGCATATCTCATTTAATCTTCAGTTTGACCTTGTGGCTTAGGATATGCTGTTATCCCCCATTTTACGTAACGGGAAACCCAAGGAGAAGGGGGTTAAGTAACTGATGCAAGACTATACAGCTCATGAGTCCTGGGTTTGGGATTCAAATCCATTTATATTTTATTCAAAGCCCGTGTTCTTTGCCCTTCTACTCACCCTATCCAGTAAGTCACATTGAGCGTTTTGACAGATTTCAACCATTTTTGACCCATAAAACCTGGAATATCACATGGTTCACCTGGTTCTTACACTAGGTGAAGCAGATCCGAGTTAAAATCTGGGTTAGGCAGTACCCATTTCCAGAGTGTTAAATCTCTTATGATTACGCATTCGATAATAGTTACTATGTACTATTACCTTTTCAAGTGCGCGTGGATCGCTTCATCTCTCTGCTCACAGTTCTTAGATGGTTCCCCTCTCCAGTGAGCAGTCCAAACACTTCACCAAGGCCTATGAGCCCCCTGTGCTCTGACCACTTCTGCCAGGCTGACCTTTTGTCCACCTCTCTTCCCTTAGTGCGGTGGGCTCTAGCTCTTGGACTCTCCTGCCCCTCCCCCACCCTTAAACAGGCCCAAGCAGTGGGGCACAGGGGCATCTAGTAAACATGCGGGGGAGTCTCCCTGACCAAGGCCAGGGAGAAATGCTTATGGTGCTATGTCAAGGTTCCCTTCCTGAAGCAGGTTTTTCTATCTGAATCTCTTTAAGAAAAAAGAGTAAAAAACTCTTCTTGAGTTTGTTGGGCTTTGCACTTGGTGTTTCTTTTCCTGGCAGAATTTTCCCCCACATACCTGCAAGCCCACCTCCCGCCCTTGCTTGGTTACCACTCGATAGAAAATAGTGCATACATGTACACAAACGCGCACACACACCCTCTGTTATGGTCCGCTTACCACTCTTTAATTATTTTCATAGCATTTATCGCCACCTGACTCTGTCTATGGATATAAAGTTTGTCACCTCCCCCTACACCATAAGTTCCATGAGAGCAAGGACTTTATTTTGTCCTATGTGGAATTCCCAGCACCTCGAACAGCATGTGGTACATACAGGCACTCATTACAAATATGTTCGAAAGAGGTATCAAGTACTTGTCATGCACCAGGAGCAGGGCAAAACTCTCGCTGACTTTATTTCTTATAATTCGTACGGCAGACATTCGAGGTGGGCTTGAAGAGCCAGGTGCCTCATTGCAGCCGTGTGCCCTGTCCTCGGCTCCCTCCCTTTCCTCCGCCACACTCCTGCCTCAGGCATTCGAGGTCTATGTTACACCACTCGTCGCCCCACGTATAAGAGCCTTCAAGAAGCTTAAAAACCTAAAAATTATTGTGGAAAGACTTTGATCACATATTGCAAAAATCTCTTTATACGATATTCACAAGTTACAGTGTACACGGACTATATGAATGGGTGACCTTGCAGTTGAAGATGCTTATAATAGCATTCACCATTGTAAAAAATTATATCATCTAACATGTTGACACTAAAAATAATTCCATATCTAACATCAGTAATTAACTACAAGCGATAATATCTTTTCTGTTCCCTTAAATTTGATTGTATTTATTTGTTTATTGCTATTCTTGACATTTAAATCAGAAAATTATGGTATTCCACACTTTTTTCCCCTTCATCACCATGGAGTTCTTGCAGGAACTCAAATATTCCCTGGACTTAACAATCAATCTTTGATGGCTTTTTGTCCCAAAATTTCTGCAAATCTTAATCCTTAAATTTTCCTTAAAGGAAATGAGGCATTCCCAGAATCTTTGAAAAATAAATCTTTGTTTATTTTCTTAGTAGATCTCTTGGGTCTCCTTTTGAATGGTGAGATGGCTTATCATGTACTATTTAAAAGGTTGCAATTGACACATTTTAAGTATGAATATCTTAGTCAACAAACATTTGAGTAGATGTCCTTAGCCCTAAGGCACTTAGGGGCCAAGCTGAGAGTTAATCTCACATGCAGGGGACAAGCTAATAAAAGTGAATGATTAAGACAAAACACTTTAGGAATGGCAGTGAGCACCGCTCCAGGCCTGGCAGCCAGGGCAGGGCTGCCCTAGGAGGCAGACTTGACCTAGGGCTCGAGGAGACAATAAAAGTGCTGAGGACAGGCATGGCCCCAAATTTAGAAAGTGGGAAAATCCGAGGCTTTAGGGTAAGAGTTCCCATCAAGAGCAGTAGATGCCAGATTTTGCTCAGCCTCGAGTGTCAAGCTAATGTGTTCACAGATAAGAGACTTGGGATTTTTTTTTTTTTTTAATACAAGGAAATTAATCAAAAAGTAGTTAACATGGATTCCGGTCAGTAAGGCACATTTATATCCTACTTGCAAATACAGCGCTCATAAAATGTAAGGCACTGTTCTCCACAGCCAATCTAATGCTAATTGTGCTGCCTCTTTAAACCACTAACACCACGGTTGCGGATATAATACTAACATTTAGCTTAACCCACTGCACAGTTAAATGTTAACTGACCGTGTCAGGTTTCTGCTCATTTGACCCTAAATGAAACTTTAGAGGTAAAAATATTCTCAGCCAAGAGGCAGCCCTTTTGCCATGTAATCCAATCTTTATTCCATATTTAAACAAACTGAAACTAAAAAATAATTGTCTTAATTATAGGAATATGAGAGAATTTAAAAAATGCATTTTGTTTTGATCAACTTTCAGACCGATTCATAGTCTTGTGATTGCAAAACAATTTCCATAGTGTTACCCCTGGATTGAGTCGATTCGTTGTTTTTCCCTTCAGGATGAATCTGTAATTCGATTTTTTACCATATTAAAGAGATACTGTTTGATTCATAGTCTGTGCATTAGTTTTAAATAACTATGTAAGTAAGCATTGTAAGAGCAAGGGAAGCGCCTATTCACGTCCTAGACATTTAGTCAAATGCCATTATCCTTTACTAAAATTTAACATATACCTTAACACTGCATTTTCCTGGTGATTTCTGTATATTCATGCTTTCTAAACACAGTTCTGAGTGGGCCCAGGGAGGCATAAAAGGACTAACATTTATAGAGTCACTACAAACTGTTGGGCACTTCAGTTACTACACAGAGGCCCTGAGTTAATTATTATCTGCCTTATAGTCAAGGATCCTAGGCTCAGAGAGTTAACCCAGTGATGTGACTCTTGTGACACAGCTAGTTAATGCTGGGGACAAGATTCAGACCAGACCTTCCACGTCTCGAGTGATTTACAGTATGATTCTGGCCCTTCTGTGCATTAAAGTGTGTACCCCGAGGGCTACGTCTTTTAATGACGGAAATACTGTTACTTTTGAGTCTTTATTTTTTCAGTATTCTAACCAATGGTGATGTTGAATCTTTTCAAACATTAAGCTGTTACAGCTAGTTGAAATACAGCTAGTGTCACGTAGAGAAAAGATCGCTGGGCTGGGTATAAAAAGGCCTTATTAGTTCTCTCCTAATGAGCTGTGTAACACTGAGTAAATAGCTCAATCCGAGATTCGAACGAAGTGATCTGGGAAGTCTTTTCAAGTTCTGTGATTCTGAATAAGATGTTCTTATCCATATCAGCAAGTCGACATTGTTGTAATTTCATTTCTGTGTCTAGGATAACCCTGTGTACGTACACGTGGTCCTTTAATGGCAATAAGAAGTGTATTTGAAATTTTTAGGTGTCCGGTTTTGCGCTCCTTACTGAAGTAAAAAAAATATTTATGGGTTTTTGTTTCCCTCGGACATTACATTTGACTGAAAATCTTATTTTTCATAATTTCCAAAGGATTAAATTAAATCTTCCTTTTTAAAAAACATATTACAGCTTAATAAAAAATAGAGCACTAAGAAATTGCGTCTGGAGCTCCTAGTGGAGAAAGTTACCATCGGGAGCGAGTAAAAATTCCCCGGGGGTAATCAGGCGTCTTCCTTCCTTTCTGCTCTGATTTTTAAAATGCTTTACAAGCAGGCTACTTTCAGTAATTACTTGTTTGAATGAACGAAAGAAAAAAAGGAACACATGGACATACTTGGGCTCTAGGTAGGACAAGCAGCTGTGTAAGCTGCTCACAGCCCAGAGTGCTGATCTGAGTAAATAATGGCATCTGAAAGCCCTTGCCTTCGTGACATAGGAAAACAGAGCAGGAGGGAGGGCCTCCGTGTCTGTCAGTTTCTACAGTGTGATTCAACGATTCCTGAGAAGGATTCTGGAGTGCCAGATCGGTCTCACTCCGCAAGACACATACCGTTTGGGGCGATGGGACCACAGCATCTATAGTCACCTGAATGTATAACAGGCCTGAAAATGAGCACCTCCTGCGTTAATGCAAACGGGGCTTATTTAGCGATGGCATTTTATCAGAATCACTTAAACTGTATTATTAGATATAAGATTAAAAGCAATTATTCACAGCAGCAATGTTCGGCCAGTACGCATGAGTACAGCTTTATCAGGGCATAGTTCTCAGCTGCAGCCCAGCCCTCCCCCAGAGCCCCTGGAACCTCAGAACCAGCAACCGAAAGCAAAATGCCTGATGCCCTGCCCCCACCCAGCTGGCAGCCCCGTCATGTGTGCTCTGGCCATACCACTTGTTAAAAACATTTTGAATATTACCTCTGTGTCAGTTTATTTACATAGAAAGTTATTTCATATCTTCATGTCCGTTAAACCTGAGTTCACTAGTTTTTACTAATTGCAACATTTCGAAATGGATCATTTCTTTTGTCTAAAATATGTAATAGGTTCCATGGGCATCTATTCAAATTTTGAAAGAGCATTTATACAAATCATGTTAACCCAGTTGCAATGAAATACCAAAGTCTCCAGTTTTACTTTCTCTTTTCTACCAAATAATGTTTTAATAGACGGGTGGTTGTTACCAGAGCTGAAAAATGGTTAATCCTCCTCCTATGGTAACCTCTGTGTATGTCACACCAAAGAATCACCTCTGTTCTCTCTCCCCAGCCCTGGACAGCCATTCACGTGCCTTTGCTGAACTCTACAAGTAATACTGATGATGCCAGCATTTACTGCTTCCTAATTATTCTGCCCAGGCCCATCTGTAAGAATGCGTTACAGTTACATTTTATAGATCTTCAAGGGCCACCAGCTTGATTAACTGGCATTAATTACACTGTATTTTTCTCATTATCCACTGGGAGTGAGCATTGTTGTTTTAGATGAGATAAAATGTAGCGTAGTGAAACGAGTAACACTTCTCTTTCAGAGTTCTGAAACGGCTGCTCTGTGTTTACCGTGGGAGCCTGGAGTTAGGCGCTGGTGGGAACTCGCGCGCCGAAGCTGTGACAGACGGTGGGGCTCTCGTGGTGTGAGGATCATCTCTCTGTACAGGTGAAGCTGTTAAAGAAGCAGAAAGGATGTGAGCAGGGAATCCAAAACACTAAACTGTGAAATCGTGAAATGAGAAGGAGAAAAAAGACTTGGGTTCACAGAGTTCAGAGACGGGCCTAGAAACGGCCCCATCAGCTGACATGCCAGCAGTCACCCAGCTCCCACTCCGGTCCCAGCTTCCTCTCTGGCGGCCTGGCCCGCGGTGGGCAGAAGCAGCAGGCCCTTCTCTGTGCCAGGTCCTTGGCCTCTCGGGACCGATAGCCAGACTTGACTTTCTCCTCTCCCTCAGCTGACCAGGTTTCAACATTTCAGCTGGTTCGGTGCCTGATTTCAGGAAAGCACACTTAATCAAACAGCCCCAACCAGGCCTTGTCACTCCGGAGGGAGCAGATACTAAGTGGGGACAGCAGCAGCCGGCTGTGTCCGTGTCATCAGGGTGACTGAGCACCGAGCCTGGTGAGGGAAGGAGGCCTTTCGTCTCTGGGCTCAGACAGCTGGTGTCTAGTAAGCACTTCCTTCTGCACAGTGAAAATATGAAGTAATGATACCTCAGCCTCACTGCGTCACCACCTGCCAAGCCATAGAAGTGGTGGTTCTCGCAGACGATGTGATAAATTGTCTTTAAACCCCAAGCGGTGAAACAAGGTCCTGAAACATTTGTCCCTAAGGCTTTGTCCTGGGAAGAGGCAGCTGAGCACAGGGCTTTAGAGCAGTGGCCTTAGACGTCCCGGGTTCATGGCTCAACACACTGCCACTTCGCTAACTATGCCTCTCCCTTCTCCTGACGCAACTTAAGGGTGTCGTCAGGGTTATGCGAGTGGACACATGTGAGGTGCCTAGCAAGATCTCGGGCACACAGTAAGCTTTCAGTAAACGGAATTATTTTAATAGAGACTAAGAAGGGTGAGGTCTAGATATAGCTCATATTATCAGTGCACATGTGTGTAGGAATGTGTGTAACTATCTCTAGGTTGAAAATGTGTCCGCAGAGATCAAAAGTAGTTAGTCATCAGTTTTCTGCTACTTCCTATTGCACAAACTGTTTCCTGTCCCCAGGACTGCTGACACTAGGAAGTAAAAGGACAAATAACTTGATGAAGAGGAGCCCTGATTCCGGGTGGCTGTGTTTTCAGCAGCAGCAACAGTGGATCGACAGCTGGCCCCGGGCCTCTGTGCTCTCTAGGCCCAGTCTTCATTCAGCTGCCCGACTGTAGAAGCAGCTCTGTAGCGGCAGTGGGGGCGGGGGAGGGGATAGCCTGCCCCTCTCCCCACCGCAGCCCTGCAAACAACTGAGCTGGCAGTGAGCGGAGGGTCCTGGGAAGGTCAGTCTTGTGGAAGGCCCAGGCCCAGGGAGGATGGGCCCGCCCTCCTGGAGCCGCATGGTCCCACTTTGGTGTTCTGACATTGACAGTTGTGGGCTGACCCAGGGCTTAAAACATGATGCAGCATCAGGCAGACCAAGGGCTTCCTCCAGGTCTGGGCAGGCCAGTGGCACAGGTGAGCGAACCTGCCCTCAGCAAAACCACACTTTCTCCCTATCTCCACAGACAGCTGCTGAGCAAGGCGGTGAGCCCCCAAACTCCCTTTTTAAAAAATCAGATGCCATGGGAAACAGTAGATCATGTTTCGAGGAATTTAAAATCTGGGAGGAGACAGATGCGCACACTCCCACAAGTGGCTTCTGCAGGTGGGCTCCTTTAGGTCACACTGGAAGACAGTGACAGCTCTAAGTCCCCTGGGCCTGGGTCATCCCTGAAGCAACATGATCACTCCGAGCGAACCCGCAGAAGGCCCAGAAAGTCTAGGTCCTTGGCAAGACAGAGTCCCTGAGCCCGGATTTCCATCACCGATCGCTGTCACCAGGCCCCAGGCCCCAGGCCATTCGTACTGCCTCCAAAAAATCTACCCCAGGAGCCAGAACTTTCTCTCAAGTGATTTTCAGGGCTTCAAGGTGATCTTTACAGCGTCATTTCAAAATGAGGGCTGGAATACACAATTAAATCAAGGTGATGAAAGGAACAGAATGTTTCTAATAAACAGTTTTATAATAATGAGCCCGGCTTCACCGTGAATCACATACTCCATTATAATACTAAAGTTGAATAAAATTTGTGTTTGCATCATAGGTGTTCTTATGACAAAGGGGGACTCACATTGTCACTAGAGACCTGGGGCGCGATTCGTTCTGAATTACAGTTGAACCCCTGACATGATAAGGGCTTGATAGGAATTTCCTTCTCAATATCTATGTTTACGAAAACGGCTTATTGTATCATGTATACAACAATTATTCACCAAGTCAGGGGGATGTTATAGACCACAGCAAAAGACTTAAATCACCCATTTTTTACACCGGATTTTTCCAAGGCAAAGTCTTGGTCATATTATTGAGCCGTGTCACCTGGATGGCACAGATCTGAGCTCGGGACTTGGCCCTCCCTCTTGGTACTGCCCTTTGGTACTCCCCCTCCCCCACCCAGTCTCAAGTTCAACAGCTCTCCTCTCTGCCTCTGCCTTCTCCCATTGTCTCTGTCATCTTGGTCAAGGGTCATTTCCTACCAGCCCAGCAGCCTCTCTGCATACAGTCTTGGAGGCGCCATGAGTTACTTTAATCTTGAAACTTGCTGGTGTGATGTGGTATTATTTTTTATTCGTAATATAATATATGCATATCAACACCATGGTGTGTCTATCCCATAATCTTTTTCTTAATGTCTGTCACTGCATATCTGGATGGGAAACTTCTCTGGCACTTTAATGTAGCTTTAAAAAAATACTTAACATAAAATTTATTATTCTATTAATCCTTCATTGTACGGCATCCACTACCGACGTCACTATCAAGGAAGTAAAGGGGAAGGCAAATATGCTAAGAAGTGAGCTTAATAGCAGTTTGATTTTTCAAGTTCTGAACACAAAAATCCCACTCCTTGCCTGCTAGCTCATATTTTTAACTCATTTGTCTCTCCACCCCGTAGTATTTCTGTAGCTTTAGTCCTCCCATATATTCTAAAGTTCGGGTAGGTTCAAGATGGCTCGAGAAGGCTTTAAGATTCTGTGTTCTGTCTGAAGTGGTTCACGAGATATACGTGGGTGAGCAGAGATCCAGGTTTCTGTAAAATGTTAACCACAGGAAAATACGAGGAAGCGTTAGAGACCTACGACCTGTCCTTTATTTTTTTGTTAGAATTGGATTCAATTAGTGGTCAACTTCACAAAACTAGAGAACACCGTCATTCACTAACCGTTTTCCCTCTTCAAGAGTCAAAAAGAGGCCTCAGATCTGGGGAGAAAATCTTCATGCTAATTAAAGCTCACAGTTTGTTCTGTCTGGGCCTCATCTGCACAGCAACCAGAAACGTCCATGGCCCAGCAGTTTTAACCGAATAGTTCAGGAGCCAGTGTTTGCCCTTTGCAATGGTAAGCCTGGAGCGATTTCAGCTGTCAAGCATCTCAGATCCCCAGATTCTTACAAAGGAGCTTTGCAAAGCTTGTAGTCTTTCCTTCCTAATTTAATTTAAACTGCACTCGTAATAAAGAGGCAAGTGCACGCACTGGCTTCCCCCTAACGCTGGCGTAAAATCCTGTATGACACAGATCCCTCTTGGGTCTGAAAGTTAAGTTCTAGAAGTATCTCAAGAACTGTGTCCACCCCCGCCACTCCCTGGCCTTAGCCAGCGCCATTCTCCAGCTCCCCCGGCCCCACGGTGTTCTTCCCCGCCAGCCCCTGGCAATGGAGCCGCTCACTTCTCCTTTCCAGCTCCTTCCGCAGTCCCTCTCCCCGGCTCCCGTCCCCCATCCTCCTCCTCCGGCCCACTGCAGGACAGACAGACGCAGCTTCCTCAGCCCCTCAGCCCCACTGCCTCCAGAACAAACACAAACCAGAAAAAGGACAAAGGAGTTTTAGTTATAGAAAGGTCAGAGTTTTAAAAATTACAAACACTGGGAAAATTACAAGGTTGCTAAAGAACCTCAGAAAAATCCAGCAGGGGTTTACAGAGCCTGACCTCATTTCCATTTCAATGGAGACCGGTAAACCATTGCCAATCTCTCCCAAACATTTTCTGTAGTTAGAGGCCCCTGGGCGCCTTCCCAGTCCCTGGGGTGTGCTGCCCTAACTGTTGGGGGCGGGGGGGAGGAAGGACTGTCCAGGCCCCGTTTCTGACCCTTTGCCAAAGGAATCCTTTCTCCTTCCCCCCAAGGCTCCTCCCATGGGCTTCAGGCTACTTGCTCTGACCTTCAGTTTGCCACCGTGGCCCCTAATGGAGCCCTTCGTGTTTGAGGGCTCGGGGACTTATCCTCACTGCCGTCCTCCCAAACCTGAGACGACCCCACCGGGCCATTCCTCACTGATCTTGCAGTTGCTCCCCTGCAAAGCCTGGAAGCCACCAAGCCTCCGGGGCAGAGCAGGGCGTGGGGCGCTGGCATTGGATGAAAACTGGCCCAGCCGCGTGGGACAGCAATGGAAGGCTCTGGCTCGCTGTGACGCGGGGCAGACAGCTGGCCGCCAGCGATCCTCAGTCTCTCGGCAGCACAGTCGGGACCACTTTATGGTCGCTGTGCGGATGAAATGAGGCAGTGACTGTAAAGCCCTTAGCATGTGCCTGGGATACAGTGATTGCTCAGTAAATATTGGCTATTCTTATCGGCATTCGCTTGCCGCTTTGGGTGGCCTGCTCTGTGTCATGCACGATCGACACAAGGCACTGGGGGGACAAAGCAAGTGACTGTCTCTGGCAAAGGAGGCGAGTAAACCAAAGCTTGCCAAGCAATGGAAGGCCTTTCCGTGGACTCGAGCTTTGAGTCCTCAGCAGGGAGAGGTGTACAGGTCCTTGAGTTCCAACCGGGAGGGTACTCTGCACCCCAGGCCGATGGCTGGTCCTGCCCTGGCATGCACTTGGCCCTTCAACAATTGCTCTACTTAATGAGAGGATCCCGGCTCCCCAGTGGCCCTTTAGACTCAGTAGGAAAGAGCCCCCTGGAGCCTGCCTCTGTGGACACCCTCCCTCACCCTCCCTCAGCCTCCACGTGGGGCTTCCTATGAGACACCGTGCTCACCCTGCGGAACAGGCTAGTAACACGGCTTCCCCAGTCAAGTGTCGCCTGCGTGCCCCCAAAACCCTGGCCTTTACAAGCGTCATCTCCCTGAGTCTCCCCAATAACCCTGCCTGGCCAACTTGTCTTGTGTCAGACCCTGGCTCCAACAATGTCTAGTTTTGCAACTTGAGGCAGGTTCAGTAACCTCTCCGTGCCTCTGTTTCTGCATCTGCCCGTGAGGATGGTCTTCCTGCTCACGGGTCACTGTGAAGACCGTGTGAGCTGATGTACACAAAGCCCTTGGACCAGCCCCTGGCACGTAGTCGGGACTCAATAACTGTCATTATTATGCCACTAGTTTTCAACCCATTGGCAGAAGAGAGGTGACTGATGAGGCAGAGTTTGACAGGGGTTTACCAAACTGTATTTCCTCTCCTTCTGGGACACACAGCAATCTTCACTGCCTGCCTCCCTTGAAGTGAGGTGTGGCTGTATGACTGAATTCTAATCAATAGAGCACGAGCTGAAGCAATGTGTACCCCTTCCAGGCCTGGCCCAGAAAAGTCCCAAATCCTCCCCTGGGGCTGGCAGGGGACTTGTTGAGGATACGGGTCCCCAAATGACTGCCGGGGAAAAGCCACTTTGCGGACCTCTTCACCTGCACAGTCCTGCCCCCTAAGAAACACGCTTTCGTTGCATTTGAACCACTGCATTTGGCTAGCACCCTACACAGCCTTTACTCACAAAGCTCATCTACCGGAGCTCGATGAAGGATCAATTTGCAGCAAACTGTCTGAACTATAGTCGTCTACTCGGCATGTCACCCCGTCCTCCTCTTCCTTGCCAGAAAACCTCTCTCGTCTTGTGGAGAAGCGAGTGTGACGTTGGGGCACCAGGACACCTCTGCCACCATCCGCAGGTGGTGCACACAGGACCCTAGGCCCTCCCGAGAGGCTAGCCCGTCGTTGCCACCGCTGCCATGGAATCTGCAGCAAAACAGGGCTCTCTCCTTGTGGTGGGTTGCTGGTTTGAGAGGGCGTGGGAGTTTCAGGGGTGCAGTGGCCATGGCGGTAATCACCGTGTGGAGGACCAAAGGCAGAAACCAACACAGATGGAGTGGCTCCAACGTGGAAGCCCATTTCCAGCATCGTCCAAGCTCCGTATTTGTTAACGTCCAGTCCACGTTTCCCAGTCACCTTGGTCAGTGAACCTCCTTTTCGGTTAAGCTCATCAGGGCCAGCTCTCCCTTTGTTGGAAAGGCAAGTTCCCAATTTAGCAGCCTCGCCCTTTCCCCTAGTTCCCTCAGGCCTCGGGCTCAGCTCACTGTCTGCCCTCCCCCAGTCCCATCTTCACATTATAAAAAAAATATTAAAACTCCTTAAATAATCAGTGACAGTAGCATGCATGACTTCCACTGAAGGAAGAAGAGTATTACTCACTCACATGTGGTCCTAACTGATGACACTCGTGGTGAGGACGGGAGTCTGGCTGTCATGCTACAGAATAGATCCCATTCAGACAAACTCAGTAGGCCTGCCCGCGGTTTTTTAATTGCACTTGTAGATGTCGGGTGTGCGTGTCCCCAGAATGTGCCACTCCGGCGTGCAGGTTATTACGCACCCGAGTCAACGGAAGCCCGACACACTCGGGAAGAGTTTCCTACTCCCCTTTTTCTCAGAGATTCAGCTAGGACAACCCGCTTCGGGAAGGTGACATAGCACCGTAAGCATTTCACCTTGGCCGTGGTCAGCGAGGCTCCCGGCAGGTTTACGAGAAGCCCCTGTGCCCATAGCTTCCGGTTGCCCAGCGAGAACGTGCCTGCCAGGTGTGTTTCCCCTTCCTCCAGTACCTGCCAGTCGCCTAATCTTACTTCTGAAATCTAAGACCCCCTTTCTCGCTTTTCTCCTTTGTCCCAAAGTCATATGTACCCAATGTGGCCGCCCTGTTTTTGGAATTATCGTGCGTATGTGAATCCCCATCCGCACGTATTAAACATTTTATTTTTCTCTTGTTAATC